AACTAATACATACTATATTATAGACATATATATATATAGTAATTTAAATTAATAAATAATATATACATAGAAATACATACATATATATATATATATATACATGCAATAAATAGAATATATATATATATATATATATATATATTTATGCTTAACAATATAATAATATTCGTATATTGAGAAGAACAGACATACATACCTACGCAGATATGTATTTGAATGTATATCGATAAATATTCAGCTGTATCAATCGGTTGCATACCGGCTACATACTTATCGGATTCGATACATATATACATAGGCACCGTAAATTATTATCGCTAAAGGATCTAATTCGTCATTGCGATTGCATCAACAGACCAATTACAAACACAGCCAGCTCACAATCAAAAATGCATACAGCCACACCTCACACCAAAACAAGCACGTACGTGAACAACCCGACATACCGTTGCATAGGGGTCGCACAGGACATTATAGCACATGACCGAGAATGTCGGCGTTTGGTCAGTCACTAACTTGACCACATCCTCATTGACCAGCCAAGGCCGTTCCGAGGGAGGCGCAGGCATGGAGGAATTGTCTAATAAGAACGATGTAAGTGCTTGTGCACCTTGCTGTACTAGAGATAGGAACGGTTCTTCCATGGGGTTCTCCTTCATTTCCAACCGACGTAATGCAATTAACTGACTAAAGCTCGCGGGGAGGATGGAGATTTGGTTGTTGCTTAGCAACAGCTCTTCCAGGCGGAAGAGTGAGCCGACCTCTGAGGGGATCTCGATCAACTGGTTATTGCTTATATCTAAGTACGTGAGGTTCTTTAGTTCACTGATCTCAGGCGCGATTGTGGTCAACCTATTATTAGCCAGCATCAGCTTGGTGAGAAACGTGTAATTCCAGAGCGATCTACTTAAGGTGAGTACTTGTACGTTACTTATATCCAAGCACGTCCATGCCCCTACATTACCCTTGCCTCCTCTGTACTCGTCATTATTGCTATTACTATACGGATTGGAATTGGATCCACGGTAATCAGGGCTGGTATAATTCGTACTCCCGAGATTGGGCGACAGTTGACTGTGGTATCCATTCATGCCATCCTGATTGTTGTTGTTGTAGCTGTTGCTATGCCTATTGGGAGAGGACAGATACGACGGCCGTATGGACGGTGAATCGTGCGGGGCCGGAGAATAATTGGCAGATAGATTGCTAGTATTGTTATTGTTATTGTTGGTATTATTGCTGATATTATTACTGTTGTTGCTGTTGTTATTATATTGGGTAGGGGGTGTAGACGGAGGCCCGTTATTGTTTGGGTTTCCTCCTCTCTGATTCTGGTAGTGCTGCAGCATCGTCTTTACACATGTATGGAGACTCTCTATGACACATGTAGGTGTAGTAATGGACCTGCCTCTGATTCAAACGCAGAGGACTTCGAATGCACACTTGTTTAGCTATATTAAAAAGAACTATACTTACACTGCGATGCCAAGCCTTTCAGCCCACCTAACCTCAACTATATACATCCGCTATTCCTGTAATGTAATGTATATGCAGCATCTAAAGCAATGCGGTATCCAGTGGATTCTCTGTATATAGTACCTTCCTCTTGCCGTATATCTCAGCTGATATTTACTTGTATTATTAAAACATACAGAGTGCAATTAGCCGTGTTTTTGCGCATATTCACGAGTTGTGTGTGTGCGCGAATTAAGCAAATAAAAAAATATCAGAATTTTCTCCCAAAAAAAAAAATGACCCGGCAAATGTCCCAAACCGCAAAAAAAAATCAGTTCTAATTATAGGTCTCATTCCGCTCACAACAGGTTTTTGGACGACGAGAAAATCAGAATCATAAGCTCAAACTTGGTTTTTATGTATATGAGCTAAAATTTCATAGCCTCCTGAAAAAAGAAAATCATTTGGATGAACACATTAAAAATATTCAGAGTCACTGTCAGGGCGTCACTCACCACAGTGGCACAGAGTCACAGCCTGGCACAGTTTGTCGCTTTTTGTAAATACTTATGTCGTAAATTCTAATATGATTTTGGGTTCGGTATAAATATTTGGGTTGGGTTCAAAATCATCGGGTTTAGGAACCTTGTAGTTCTCGGATGAAAAAGGACATAGTAAATATTATGTCACATCCAGATCCAGAGCCTTCAGACCCCAGAGGGCCATAGGTCACATTTCGTGAATCATCGTGATCGAAACACATATCACGCAAAATATTGGCATTTGAAATTTTTTACAATATTTATTATACAAATTTATATTCTAAAATATTATATTCGCGACGTGACATAGCCTTCTTCTGAAAATAGAACAGTAGTGAGACCCTGTACACTAATAATTTACCAGCGTAATCTTCTGATTGGTCGAGGTATATTGAATGTTTGGTGACTGACAGACTGTGACACAGTGACAGGGACTGTGTCTCCGATCTCGGTCTCTGTGACCTGTGACTCTGTGAGTCTGCGACTGTGACTGTCTGCCGCCTAGCTGGATGTAGTAATTTGCGACAACCGAGATTTTCATCAATAAAGCAATATTGTTGTTGCAAAAGAGATTCAGTTTTCCACCCAGACCCTTCCTAAATACTTATTATAGCCCCCAGGGCCCAGCCACTACATCTTTATTGTTTTTTAAAAACAAAAACAAAACAAAAATTTTAAAAAAGGATAAATTTCATGTGAATACTAAAGCATGCAGCCAGAGACAGGCGACAGCTGACTGAGCTGATGAGCCAACTCCCAATCACAGCACTAATGCCCCGCAGGGATGAATAAAAAAAAACAGTTTCACAAGAATGTTTTATTTTATTTTAAAATCTGATGCTACATTTGTTTTTCGAGTTTTCTTGCAAAAAGATATGACCAGCTTACCAGGCTGCCACGCCAATTATTTCATTTTTTTTTTTGTGCTTCTTGTGACATCATATGGACTTGGTTGTCATCAGCAACCATCACGCTCTTTTTACTAAACTACATATCTTTTATATGCGCTTACCATAGATTCAAGTGACTCCTACCGACTGTATCTAACCATCTATGTACTTATACCAACTCACACCAAGTGCGAAGACTCATTCTGTACTGCACCATTAAGTATAAGGATAACAGTACGAGCGCACTTGTGTGGTCATAACGGGCACGTAGGTATACAACTACAACTTGGTTTAATCTCTAAACACAGTCACATACCCACACACACGCACTCTTATACACACAATTGACATACACGCACAGGTGCACGTGTTCAAAATACATTGGAAATTAAAAAATATCTCCGACTAAACTCACACTTCAGGCAAGATGTTGGAAGGAATGAGATCGTTAAACCTTAACTGTAAGTCAAGTGATGGGTCAGTGGTATCAATTGCATCTTCGTGTCTAGTTTAACTTATCGCACTGATCCATTCTCAGCGGGTGGCCAAGTGTCTGCATCGTTCAGTTAACTTGTTTTCCGTATTGTCAATGTGTTCAATAGTTAGTCAGATATGTGTCCTTTTCTGTCAGAGTCATCGTCTGTTGTACGAGATGTAGCGGAGAGCAATCTGCTCGTGGGGGTTCTGCGGTGGGATGCTCTTTTGCTTCTCGGGTGCGCGTTTAGCTGAGCTTCTAATTTGTGTTGTATGTCTTGCGGCAGTACTTTGTGCACTCCTTTAGATTCATCTGAGTGAAAGTAGTGGCACATACGCGATACTTATCGTCCACTAGTTGGTGCTCATATAACCCGTCCTTAAAGTTCGGTATAGCCGATGTTCCAGCTGGGGTTCCCTGAGTGACGGTGTACATACACGCACGCACGCACGCACACATGAACGCACGCACATACTTAGGCTCATCTGCATATCTTTGTACACGTCTGAGTACTTACGGACTAGTATCAGTGCGCTTGTTCATTGTTTGACACTCGATCACAGTTAGGCGACAGTATCAACTCGCTACACACGCTCATGCGCTCATACACATGGACCAGTTTTATATTGTCAAATGTCCTCGGATTAATAGGTGTTAGTGGAACACTAACAAACACACACAAACCACACACATACGCCCAGAATCTATATGTATATACTAGTGTGATATATAAATCTTGGCACATATCAATTTACTTCAATGGTTGTTCAAGTGTGTAGTTGCGATTGCTAAATAAACATATGCACATTCTATTGACATTCC